TCAGGCCCAAGTCCCAATTATCTAAAGGAAGCCCCACTAGGCAGGTAGAAAAGGGGTTGCCGGGGGAAGATATCAATAGGCAGATGGAATCCTGTCCTGTCTGATTGGCCAGAGTCACCCAAATATTTTCCTTCGGCTGTGAGGGTACCCATAACACAGCGACTGCACATAGTGATACTAGCCACAAGATGCCCCCCCATACTGGTGTCATGGTTTACGTTCTCTTTTTGTTCTGTTTCCACCCAAATCGCTTGTCACACTGTCGTTTGGTACTCTCCCAATCCGTTTCCCACACAGTCCACAGCTGGGGGATACAATGTGATCTCCCACACACTAGCTGTAGATTCTGTGGTTCGGCGTTCCCGGTAGTATTCCCTTTACACCTTGTGCACCTTCCCGCCCGGAACTGAGAGTGACAATACCGGTTTCTTTCGCAATTATCACATTTGCACAAAGTCCATGCGTGATGTGTTGATCCGGGACACTGGAGGCAGGGAATTCCTGTCACCTCTCGATTATCCAGTTGACTGTTCTCTGCTGCCTGGTGTTCCCAGTCCACGGCTAATGGCAACCCACTTGGTCCCCTATATACCCCGGCGCGGCCTGGCCCACTAGGTGGTTCCCCGAATATCGAATGAGGTACTTTGTGTAAGTCCCAGTAATTTACTTCAAACCATCGATGCATCCGTGGGCTCCTTGGGCTCCTTGTCCAGATACGGTCGAACGCAGCGGGCAGGTATCCACCGGGGTCCACGATCTGTGGAAACACAAGCATATCCTCTCCCCCATGTTATAAGATCATAAGGGCCTTCCCATTGGCTATTTTCCAATGACTTGACCCACACCCGAGCCCTTTCTCCTACCGGAGAAGCTGAGTTACAAGATGTAAAGTGTCTCGCTATTACCGTGTTAGGGCTGCCAACTGCTGTCCTGTCTTCCCTTATTGTAAGATGATTTAACACATATATTGCTTTATGGAGGCGGGCTTGCGGTGATTCCCCTAGCATTCCCCCTTTTTGTTTTTGTAGTAGCTCCTTGAGAGTGAGATGAGCCCGCTCAACGATACCCTGGCTCTGAGGGGAATAAGGGATACCAGTGATATGTCGAATGCCCCATTGTGCCAAAAAGGCCTGCGTTTTTGCGCTTATGTACCCGGGCCCGTTATCTGTTTTGATCTGGTGTGGAACCCCCCGAGCAGCAAAGGCCCCTTTCCAGTGCCGTAAAATATCTTTGCTTTTTTCTCCGGTCTCTGCGGTCACCCATAGAGCTCCGGAGAACGTATTTTTGCATTTTTGACTTTAACTCTTACTTCTTAAAATAAGTCAGAAGGATTTCATTCTAGACTGCAACAAACGTACTAGGTTTTATGAACATGAATTTACTTTAAAAGATGGACAAGCTGACTAAAAAAATTCAATAACCTTCAAGACGTTTTTATCATATTGTTGAATTATAACGAATTGTTCTTACAACCTAAGAGAGTTGTAGATTATATACTGAAGAGTGAAAAAGGTATAAAAATTGATTATATTCTTAATAAATTCAACCTTTACCTTGAAGGATATTGTTTTACAACACAAAATATTTCTTATGGTTAGACTATTCAAGACATCTTTAATTTAATATAGACAAAAAATGGATAGTTCATGTATTATTTTCTCCTGCTGTTTGCTTGCACTACAGCTGAACCTAAAGCTCTGGCAGGATTTTAAGAGAGAATAAACAGTTAGTGAGAGTGCAGTCCACCATTTTTTTTTAGGAAACAGCTCAGAGAGTGTTTATCTTTGCTTTATGAAAGAAAAAAAGCAAACCTTTTTAGATATTTATAGCTACAGCAAAAAAAGAAGGGCTTTGGGTAAAATAGATGTCTTTTTTTACTCACAAAAGAGATTGCATGCAGTTATACAAAACTTTTCTCTCCTAGGTGCTTAAAATTCAGATCTTTAAGCTACATTTATACATTTAAATGTGATTTCCCTGAAGCAAGTGGTGTTCCCTTTGGCATTAGAAAGACATTGAGGGTCTCAGCTCCTCTTTGAATAAGATCTGCTATAGATCGAGAGTCACCTGACACCAGTAGCAGCAGAGTCACAGAGATGGTCTTGATATCAGGAAGGGAAAAATGCATTGGAAGGAGAAGTAAACATACCACATGGCACAAAAGGGAGAAACGAATACTTAATGAAGATTCACAGGTCTTTAAGGAGACCCAGATCATCTCTAAACCCTCAATGTGTTCAAAATTTCCTAGAGTTCAGAATGAAAAGAACAATATCATATTTTCTCTCCTGTATGGAAATTGAATGAAAACAATTCAGAACAGTTTTAATAACATTGCAAGATGGTATCCTTATGTTTGTAGCTAGTTATTCAATATATATGGTCCCATATTTAGTGTAAGTAAGTCTGCTTTTAGTAGAAGCACTGCATTATTTATTTGTTTTAAGGAGGAAAAGAACTCTAAAAGATCCCTTTTGAAAAGCAAATCAAATTTATTCTCTAAGTTGAAGAAATGTTATGCCAGCCTGAAAGGGTTGATCTCAAATTGTTATAGCTGTGCAACTGAATTAATATGGAACTTATGTAGGTAACTGACTCACAAGCAGATTGTCTGTAGAAAATACCTGTAGTGTTCTACGAAGAAAATTTTAAACAGAGAGATGACAAAATACAACATCTAAAGATGTATTGAATGACTGCAAAATGTGATGCTGCTAATCATGAAAATATCTATGCATGTTTAGTGTATGGATAAGCAAATAAAATTGAATGTAGGATGCATGATAGAGGAGAATAAGCAATAGAAGAATGTGTGATACAACATATAAATCACTTATTGAGCAGAATTGTGGTTGATATCTTTGGAACTGGGCAGCTGGGTGCCACAGCTGGTTTTGTCAGCAGTTGCCGAGAGCCATGCTGCCAAGCTATCACACTGCCCTGATAGCCAAGTAAGCAGAATGCCTCCAGGGTCAGGTCCGTCTTCTCCACAGGCAGTGACGAGTGAGCCTGGTACCTGCCGGAGGCGTGAGAGGGGACAGACCATGGGTCAGGAAGGTGTAGCTCATCACTGAGCAGCTGCACCTTTGAGTCTCAATGGGGGCTTGGCAGGGTTGGAGCAGGGAGCAGAGTGGATAACAAGAGAGGACAACTGAGGAAAGAGTAATTGGTGCAACTGATTTGATTAGGGGGAGTGCAAAGAAAGGAGAGTTGTGTCTGTAACTTCTTAATTTTAAAATATTCTTACATATTTAAATCAGGAGATGCTGCAACACTCCTTGTTGAGTTTGCCAAACTCTTCTATAATAATAATACCTTTCTACTTCAGGAATTTTTTACATAACTAAAAATAGTGGTTTATCTGCTCACTATGTTACTATCGTGCAGTGAAACTCTATTCCTGCACAAGCTTATACCCGAACAGTGTCTATAACTCTAAAGCTAGACTGTCATTTATTGTCATACATACATCACTAATACTTTTTCAAATTTATAGTAAGAGAATTGATGTCAGGATATAAAAGCTTTATCATCCTATCACTGATTTAAATTAGCCTGAAACTGTGCTTGGAAGTCCATTATTGTTCCACTGCCTAGTCTCAGACTATGACAGAGACCTATCTACATCATCAGTACATCAGTGGATAGTGTTCAATGGCAGTTTTGAACAAAACAAAAAAAAAGATCAAGATTTCAGTGGATGTGACTGAACTAACTTCTCATGTGTAGTCCCTTGTTAATGGTAATGGAGATAAATTAAGTAACAGCTTGCAGAAATCTATGCTGTATGTACACAACCAGTTTTCTGCCTTGTGAAATAAAAACATAATTTTAAATTCATCTACTTGAACTCCCCTGGACCATAATTTTACATTAAAGTTAGAAATAATGTAAGTTTGTTTTCTTTCAACCTAAAATACAAAAAGTACTCATATTGCCTCAGAAGGTACATGATAGACTCTTTCCCGCTCAATTTTCCCAGATGAAATAACTTTCCAAGGCATGTTAAAATGTCACAAATGTGTATTTCTCTCTAAATTGCATATTTGTACCATTATTCTAATTTATGTTTCTGCAGTATTTTATTTTAGGGAACATAACACATTGGGTTTGTTGGCCTCATGAACATATACACACTAAAGTCAATCAGACTTCTTTTTTGAATGATTTTCAAGGTCCAACTCCATATCTTTGGTAAACAGATCCAGAAAATACTGGAGTATGAGTTGACACTATTTTGTACTCTTTGCACTGTTATATGAAGTATGACTGGTGAAGATGTTGAACACAATACCACATAGTGAGGTCCTCAGCTGGCTAAAAAAAAGAGACTATTACACTTGAGGAGTTAATCCAATCTTCCTTAGCCTAATCTAGAATAACATTTTCAGCTCTCCCATAAAGTATTGCACCACTTCAATGCACCTCAGGTGAAACAACAGAATTTGCCAGTTCTATTTTAAACACACCATCTGTGACAGTTCTGTTGCAAATGTTGGCAGTATACCGACACCACATTACTAAAATGAATGAGACCTGACACATGGAGAAGTCCCAGGTTTCTGTTCCAGCTAATGTATATATATAAAAATATATATATGTAAATTGGCTCTTATTCAGAATTTTTTTTTTCTTTGGGGAAGGTGCTTGCTACTATTAATAGCAATGTTGTAGTCTGCACTGGTATTTTAATACCTGTTTAAGCTTTTCTGGTCTTGTCAGAAATTAATGGAAGAGGTCTTGCTAAGCAATGATTCTTGGCATGGTGGAATAAAACAGCTATGTTCTTTTCCTGACTCTTGTGCTGTCAGCAGTAAAAATTTAATGTGGTCAGGTTTTTATTACACTAAACTGCTGGTGTTTGTTCCCCTGGAAAGTTGAAACAAAAAAAAAATTTTGGAGATGAGAGTCTGCCTTAAAAATTTGTTCATGAATGTGATGTGGGCAAACAAGGTAATCTCTTAAATGTTAATTTTTTGTTATCCAATCCCTTACATTACTCGTACAATATTTTTAATTCTGATAAGTAATACAACTCAGAATTAAATGAATATACAGTTCCTCTTGTCATTTTACTAATATAACTAATTATGTTAAGGCCAAACCATAGCTTCACTGAAAATTTAGATAGAAGTTTGCAAGTTTGCAAGTTCTCCAAACAATTTTTGCATGTTAATGCACCTTACAAGCTTACCTTTTTCATAAATGAAATGCTTCTTTTCTTCTTGCTGAGTAAAGGCAATGGGATTCCTTAGAGAAGGGACATTTCTCAGCATTCTTGAAAAACAGGCTAAACTTATTTAAGAGTGCAAATACAGTGCTATTAACTTATTTTTGGGCACTTAGATATATAACCAAATAGTACAATACATGACCAGCATTAGCCCAGTCACAGTAGTCACTTGTTCTTTCTAGAAAAACTCCTTTCACAGTTTATAGATAGCTCCTACAGTTCCCTGGCCTTTTAAAGAAGAGGAGGGCTCTAGGACAAAGCTTGTGTGTGCAACAGCAGGTTGGAGAAGCAGTTTAAAAATCCATGACAAAAAGTTTATTAATGTCATAGGATCATAGAATCATTTAGCTTGGCTAAGCGCCTCATCTACACGTCTTTTAAATACTTCCAGGGATGGTGACTCAACCACTTCCCTGGGCAGCCTCTTCCAATGCTTGATAACCCTTTAGGTGAAGAAATTTTTTCTAATATCCAATCTAAATCTCCCCTGGCACAACTTGAGGCCGTTTCTTCTCATCTTATCA